TGTAATATCATAAAGCAACTTCTCCTAAACTAAAAGAAAAATATTCAACTTTGGGTTCCATTTCCTTCCTCCACCAGGTATAAAATGCACTTACTGTATGTGGAATCTTTATAATCAACAACAATTATGTTTTCACATCTCAGCAGCTTGACCTCCACTGATGTGAATGTTTCCATTTAATGTGAAAGGCACTAAGTAGTGTGTGGGAACCATGTACAATACATTAAATAATGTTTTTTTTTTATCTTCCATAGGCTTCTTTTTTAATCAGTCTCACAAACAGAATCCATTGTCCAAGAAAAAAAGGGCAGCTAGTAATGAGATCAGTGACAAGGTAATAACACCAAGGTTTTTTTTTTTCCTTTTATTGAAAGTAAAGTAAACCTTGTGCTGGAAGCATTATTGCTGTCTGACTTCAAGTAGATTTCAAGACTTGTATGAAGTCATGAAAATCTTTGAAGACTTGGGGCATTGCGTCTTTTGAAGTTTCCAAGCATTTTCTGGTTCTTTATCCTTTTTCCAAGTCAGCTTTGGCCTCGTGTGACAGTAAAAACTCACGTTAGTGTTGCCCTCTGAAGATCGATCTACATGGGCATTGGACAGGTGGTGAGAAGACATTGTATTGGCCCCTAACTGCCTGCTTTAACTCTTTAAACCCCGTAGGAGATTGTAGCCTCCCTAGCGTTTTGGGAGAAAAAAATGCCTGACGCTTGTCAAAGTCTCTAACACTTTCACAAGCGTTTAGGCGCGTTTATAAGCATCAAGAGCCTGGGCCTTTGTTTGTGATGCCAAGAGGAGGAGCGTTTTTAATACGTCCTGTGTGCATGAAGCCTTAATCTTTGGTTCCAAGTTCTTGTTTTACAGCATTGATGTTCTTAACCTCCCTAGCAGTCTGATTATGTCTATATTTCTGTGCTCAAAGCGGTACATTTTTTTGCATGGAAATATGTAGTTTTTTTATTGTAGGCCTGTAATTTTTAGGAATAACTCACTGAAATCTGTCCGAACAAGAGTCTAGTAAACATCCCGGGGATGATAAATTTGAAACACGAAATCATAAATTATAATTTAATAAATAATCATAAAAAAAAATAATATAATAATAAATAAATTTAATTCAATAATATAATCAAACCAAAAACACTGAAATGTGAAATATAGCGCCAAGTTCGCACATCGCTGAGCAAAGTCGCAGAATCGTTTTCAGTGTCTGATGATGAATTTCCCCCATGAATCATTATCACTCAATTCTGCAAGTGGTTCTGATTTACTATCGCTGTTCTCTAGCCGGTCTAAAACCGCTTTTGACCTAAAGGGACGCTTTTTGGACGCCATGGACTTTTCTCAGTTTCCAGGCAGAAAGAACAGTAAAAATGCAGGCAGGGCGCCGGACAAAGCACTCGGGACAAAATGTATGTGAAATGGTTTGATACAGGAATGTTATACTATGTGATTTTAGTGAATTTAGTGAATGTCACTTTTTGTCATTTTCAAATTTCCCGCCAGTTCCGTCCCCCGTACGTCCTGATGTCGCAGGGAACGGAACCCGGAAGACAGATGCTGACATCGGCTGGAGGACATTACAGGGGACACTGCAGGGGGGACATCGCGGGAGCGCAGGACAAGGTAAGAGAAGAACAGATCCCGGAGCAACGCTGCAGTGTATTCCCGAGTGTAGCTCAGGGTTACCGCTTGTGGTGCTGAAACTTTACCCCGAGCTACACTCAGGAATACCGCCAGGGAGGCTACTGTTGCCTTTCTATCATCTCCAAACAGTCTGCCCATCCTCCTCTGACATCAACAAGGAATTTTCCTCCACACAACTGCCACTCACTGGATATTTTCTCTTTTTCGGACCATTCCCTGTAAACCCTAGAGATGGTTGTGTGTGAAAATCCCAGTAGATCAGCAGTTTTTGAAATACTCAGACCAGCCCGTCTGGCACCAACAACCACGCCACGTTCAAAGTCACTTAAATCCTTTGTGAGCGATTGCCCTTAATTGGAAATCTCCAGTGGTTCCTTTGGTTGCTGTCTTGCGGAGAGTTGATTTGGTTATGGAACATATTCACTATACGTTGCTAGATAGGTTGCACTTATGTAACATTAAATGGGATGGTTGGAAGAGGCATCAACACTTATTACTCGATTCATGTCATTAATGGGTTCTTCTGTATTTAACCTCAGGTGATTTTGTACTTGATCTGCTGATATTGTTGACTACTTTTTGCATGTACTTGTCTTCTTTTCTCCTTTTTATACTTGTATTTTGTATTTCTTCCTAATGTTCATGTATATCTCTCAAAATTTCTATTCTACCTCACTTAACGGTTCGTTTGTTGTAGTCTACCTCTTAATAAAAACGTTTGTAAACAAAGTCACTTAAATTCCCTTTCTTCCTCATTCTGATGATCGGTTTGAACTTCAGCAAGTCGTCTTCACCACGTCTACATGCCTAAATGCATTGAGTTGCTGCCATGTGATTGGCTGATTAGCAATTTGTGTTACCAAGCAACTGAACAGGTGTACCTCACAAAGTACCAGCAATCACAAATGCTCCTGCGCTTGGGGATGGATTCGATGGAGGCTACAATCACATTAAGAATGTTCTGGAACATGCACACCTTGCTGCCCTCAATAGACCGGGGGAATCCAAATATACTAAATGAGGAAAGAACAGAGGGCGCACAGGCCCTCAGAGGCTCTGAGGAAGAGGCAAGTCCTCAAAACACGTCAGCCTATTGGATGTCTACATCCCTATTGCGGACTGTTACTCAGCGCGGTGTTGACCAAGCTGTTCTTTTATGACGTGTCTTGACTTTATTGTTGTTTCTGAGTGCAGCACCTACTTTATTTCTTATGAAACATTTTTATGGTAATGCGCTAGGCCTGTGCGCCCTCTGTTTGTTCTTTCCTCATTCAGTACCTAATAAAGTGGCTGGTGGGTGTATTTCCATAGCAAGGAGTCTTGTGTTCCCAATGGGAGAGAAAAAGGTGAGAGAAGAATGAAGAAAGAGTCTAGAAGACAAAAGGGGTAGAGTAGGGTGGGGTAGGGTAGAGTAGCGTGGGGTAGGGTAGGGTAGAGTAGGGGGTAGAGTGGGGTAGAGTAGAGTAGAGTAGGGTAGAGTGGGGTAGGGTAGAGTAGGGTAGAGTAGGGTAGAATAGGGTAGGGTAGAGTAGGGTACAGTAGGGTAGGGTAGGGTGGGGTGGGGTAGGGTAGGGTAGGGTAGTAGGTAGTGTAGGGGTAGGGTAGGGTAGGGTAGAGTAGGGTAGAGTAGGGTAGGGTAGTAGTAGAGTGTTAGGTAGAGTAGAGTAGGGTAGGGTAGGTAGTAGGGTAGGGTAGGGTAGGGTAGGTAGGGTAGGGTAGGGTAGGGTAGGGTAGGGTAGGGTAGGGTAGGGTAGGGTAGGGTAGGGTAGGGTAGGGTAGGGTAGGGTAGGGTAGGGTAGGTATGGTAGGGTAGGGTAGGGTAGGGTAGGTAGGGTAGAGTAGGGTAGGGTAGGGTAGGTAGGGTAGAGTAGGGTAGGGTAGGGTAGAGTAGGGTAGGGTAGGGTAGGGTAGGGTAGAGTAGGGTAGGGTAGGGTATGGTATGGTAGGGTAGTAGGGTAGGGTAGGGTAGGGTAGGGTAGGGTAGGGTAGGTAGGGTAGAGAAGTAGATTGACAATGAGTCCCAAGAAAAGAAATAAGAGAAAGGCAGTTAGGTTACAAAATTGGGAAATTAAGAAGAAAAATTGGAACAAATTAAAGAAAGAATAAGAGGAAGATGTAAGGAGGCAGAAAGACGGAAGAGGCAAAAGAGAAACATAAGATGTGAAACATAAGATGTGAAAAGGAATGAAATAGAATTAGAGATGAGAGATGAAATTGGAAAGATTTATGAAGCTTCTCTGAGCACTGTTTGGAAATCACCTACAAATTTTTCTATCTTGAGAAAGTGACGATGGAAGCACTGAAAGTGGCAAAGTTCAAGAGAGAGCCTCTCTCAACACAAACATTTAGTTAAGTGCGTGAAGTTAATGCTTGGCATCCGTAACAATCTCAGCTCTCGCAATGGCTCCCAAATGCCTCTTTAAAACAATATTGTGCGCACTGGCTGTCAGGAGGAATCTGTTAAGAGAGGTGTTAAACTGTGCATCGCATTAAGTACATTTGGGACCTGAAAAACATTCTCTGATGCTGTTAATGTTACAGAGACAAGGATGATACTTGTGCCCCGGTCTGAGGTGCTGAGAATTCTTCACCAAAAAAAAGTCCATTGTCATGCAGCAGTCCACCAGGGAGGTAAAATATCGTATTACCCCTAATTCTGTTAGTTACCAGATTCATTTATAATCAGGCAGTTAAGGGAGCTAGGACATGAAGGTGTGAGCCAGCTACCCTCAGGCCTGTTTGTCCCTGAACATGAAAGGCCACATCCAGTGAACATTTGTGTTCTGCCCGGGAGGCTCACAACCTTGTCGGGAGGAATCTTTTAACCTTAATCTTTAAACTACTGAAAATAATTTTTTAAACATCTAATATAACCTTAAAAATGGACCTTATCACCTAGTTAAAGCGGAGTTCCACCCAAAAGGGGAAGTTCCACTTTAAAGACTGGTCCCCCGCTCCCCATTAAGGATTGGTAATGGGGAAATTGACAGGTACCCTCTCCCGCTTCCACTGCAATCGCCTAGGCGATCAGAAGCAAAGGTTGTCCTCCTACCCTCCCCATAGTCTTCTGGGACACGTGACAGGTTCCAGAAGACTATGGGGACATTTAGGAAGCGCAGCACTACTCGCGCATGCTCGACTTTACTGCTTTTCTTGTTATCATTAACAAATTCCATACAAATTACTTAGTACCACAAAATGATACTTGGTTCTGTATTTTCTAAAAGGTGTGGTACTGGGAGGTGGGTAAGGGGTGGAACCAATGAGCAGTGCTTAGAGATGAGTAGGGAGTGGAGCCAAGGAGCGGTGCTCAAACGTGGTTATAGGGTGGATCCAAGGAACGGTGCCAGGGGCGGACTGACAACTCATGGGGCCCCTGGGCAATAGGGGATCACGGGGCCCCTGTGTCCTTGCCCAAACTCAAAAAAGCCTATGAAAAAAGTACCAGGGGCATCTCATGGGGCCCCCTACTGACCCTGGGCCCTCGGGCAGTGCCCGAGTTTCCAAATGGTCAGTCCGCCCCTGCACGGTGCTCAAAGGTGGGTAGGGGGTGGAACCAAGTAGTGGTACTTAGAGGTGGGTAGGGGGTGGAACCAAGGAGAGGTGCACAGAGGTGGGTAGGGGGTGGAACCAAGGAGAGGTGCACAGAGGTGGGTAGAGGGTGGAACCAAGGAGCGGTGCTCAAATGTAGGTAGGGGTGGAACCAAGGAGAGGTACTCAGAGGTGAGTAGGGAGTGGAGCCAAGGAGCGGTGCTCAAAGGTGGTTAGGGGGTGTATCCAAGAAGCAGTGCTCAAAGGTGGGTAGGGGGTTGAACCAAGTAGCGGTGCTCAGCTCAGAAATGGGTAGGGGAGTGGAACCAAGGAACGGTTCTCAAAGGTGGGTAGGGGGTGGAACCAAGTAGTGGTGCTCAGAGGTGGGTAGGGGGTGGAACCACCGAGAGGTTCACAGAGGTGGGTAGGGGGTGGAACCAAGGAGAGGTGCACAGAGGTGGGTAGGGGTGGAACCAAGGAGAGGTACTCAGAGGTGGGTAGAGAGTGGAACCAAAGAGATGTACTCAGAGGTGAGTAGGGAGTGGAGCCAGGGAGTGATGCTCAAAGGTGGGTAGGGGGTGGAACCAAGAAGCGGTGCTCAAAGGTGGGTAGTGGGTGGAACCAAGTAGCGGTGCTCAGAAGTGGGTAGGGGGTGGAACCAAGGAGAGGTGCACAGAGGTGGGTAGAGGGTGGAACCAAGGAGCGGTGCTCAGAGGTAGGTAGGGGTGGAACCAAGGAGAGTTACTAAGAGGTGGGTAGGGAGTGGAACCAAGGAGAGGTACTGAGAGGTGGGTAGGGGGTGGAACCAAGGAGCGGTGCACAGAGGTGGGTAGGGGGTGGAACCAAGGAGAGGTACTCAGAGGTGGGTAGGGGGTGGAACCAAGGAGCGGTGCACAGAGGTGGGTAGGGGGTCAAGGAGAGGTACTCAGAGGTTTAGGAGGTGAAAACAAGGGGTAACTCAAAAGGGGGAACTACATGCACATTCTCTCAAGGATAAAAAGCCCTGGGTACTACGTCACATAAGTGGTTACTATCCCAGTGACAGCCATCTTTTTACTTTTCACATGTCTGGGTTGTTCATTTTTTAGCTAACAAAATTCCGTTTGGAGAAAAGCAGACACTGCCATTGCCGTTGTCATCATCAGCTGTCCGGAAATCTGAGAATAAAAGGGTTGGGAATGCTCCTATTCAGGATGTTGACTTTCTCACATTGCCCCCTAAAATACAGACATGAACACCAGGTTGACGTCTCCTCAGATGTAATTGCAAACAAGCTAAAAATAGGATGGTGCGTACTCCAGGAAAAATACAGTGTACATAAAAATCCGTGGCTATGATTACAACAACAGCCCAGATGCAAATTAAACATAAGCAGCAAAACCAATTACATTCTCAGTAGATTGTGTAGTTTATGGCGCTTGTTTTTTTCTGTGTACAGAGCAATATAATAGAGATACATTTTTTAAGCGCTCGGATCCAAATCCCGGTTAGTGGCATTATCCGCCATAAGGAGCCATATCATTTGCATACAACGTGCTCCACGATGGAAAAAAGAGCCGTAACCTCATTAGCATGATGCTCTCTGACTCAGCTGCACTTACCATATAATTTACACTCGTAATAACGTAAATACGGTTTAAATTGCCTCTGTTTGTGGCTGATCAAGCGGGAGACAAGGCACAGTAAATTGCTGGTGGCCTCAGAAGCAAAGAACAAGCCCGTGATTTTCGTAACTTAGAAAGCGTTGACAAGAATTAAAAGTAGTGATGTGGGAATGAGGCTGAGCCTGAGGTCAGATATTCTGGAGATATTCATGCCAGATCCACCCAGATCACCAATTCACCACCATGAGCAGTGCCGAGACAAGGTCATCCAGCGCCAAGGGCAAAGATGCCGAACTACGTCCCCCCTCATTCATGATGTGAACGTTTAGGGGATCTTGCGCCCAGCAGTCAATCGCTTGTCAAAATCACTGCCGCCATCACTACTCTTTTCAGCCTTGTAAAATAAGGAAGGTGCCCCCATCCCTAGAGTAAACCATTGCGCCCAGGGCAGCTGTCCCTCCTGCCCACCCCTTGTCCCTGCGCTGACCATAAGAAATCATGGAGCTTCATACAGCCAACCTGACAGGGCCCTTCCAACCCATCTCCGTCCCCTCTGATTAGCAGTAGTGTCAGGACAGGAACGCTGGAATGGGCAGGCAGGTATATTAACAATGTAACGCACTGGCTGACAACAACCACCACCCACAGACCAAAGTCCCTCAGGGCGCGGAGTCTAAGTCCCAAGCTGCCCTTCACCAGGGCCCCTGATGGTGGGGATGGACTTGACGCAGCCAGGAACCAGGTCGCGGCCCCCGAGACACCCCAGTTGCGGTAATGGCCGCCGCCAATGGCGTGTAGCTGGTGGAAAGGACAATAGAGTAGTCGGGCAGGCTGGGTCGACAACAACGGGACAAAACGGTACAGGACAGCAGACGAGAATCACAGGTCATGGGCCGGGTTCAGCAACGGAGGGTCAGATCAAAGGAGAACACAAAGAATGGTCGAGTCACAAGCCGAGTCAGATTCCAGGAGAATCACGAGAGTCAGAACAGCGCTGTAGCGACACACAAGACACAAGTGCAAAGGGCATGTGCGGACCACAGGCTTATGTGTAATCAGCCACACCCCTCTGGGGGATGGACCTCAGAGACCTGAAGGCATAAAAGATTCCCACCATGCTCTGCAGAAATCCAAGATGGATGCCAGCACATGGAGTAACATAACCTCTGGGAAAAGGTAGGACCTTGACAAGTAGGCTAGCACTAACAGTAGACTGTGGCAGTGAATCCAATTTGCATTTACTGTGATCTCAGTCCCAGATGGGACATCCCTGGTCTGATACAAAAGCATTTGCCTTAAACGACATACTGCATCCTCCGGCTTATCTACCTAGGAGCTCACTGATTGGTCAGCTTTAAATTTCAAGCTGTCCTGCCTTGCACTCTGAGGAAATCAGACTGGTGGTCCTGGCATTCACCAAGGGGAGCGGGTATGTCTCTGTGTGGGTCACGTCACTTTCTGATTGGCTGGCATGCCACACATCCATTCTTTATGGTCAGAAATCCATGTGGGGGGCCAGTGATGGAGACATGGACAACTGGAGGGTGAGCACAGGAGGCAGCCCCCACCAGGCCTAGGCCTCCCTGCTAACCTGATGTGACCCTACCCTCCAGGAATTGATAAATCCAACAGAAAGTCTGTCATTTTGCCCAAGCCCTGAGGAAGGTAGTTTAATTGGCCCCCACCAGTGGCGACTCTAGGAACAATATATAAAAGGGGCACATAAGATACCACAGTCAAAACTGGGGGGGGGGGGGCAATAATTATTTTCACCACTAAATCATATCACTGAAAAAAAAGTATATACAAATAGTGACTGCAGAGCTCAGCCTCAGTCTTCATGGGATATATACCATATATCTGTACACTGAGTCTATTCTCTATATATAACACTGATATCTGTACATTGAGTCTATTCTCTATATATAACACTGATATCTGTACATTGAGTCTATTCTCTATATATAACACTGATATCTGTACATTGAGTCTTTTCTCTATATATAACACTGATATCTGTACACTGAGTCTATTCTCTATATATAACACTGATATCTGTACATTGAGTCTATTCTCTATATATAACACTGATATCTGTACACACTGAGTCTATTCTCTATATATAACACTGATATCTGTACATTGAGTGGCACTCAGTGTATATAGAAATCAGGCTATATAGGGTAGGGATAGGAAATAGCACCTGGTATGGGCAATGGGTAGGATGGAACACTCAGCCTGACTGGTATAGACACACTAAACTGAAGTTCTAACCTGGGGATTACACACTCTCGCTGCACACAAGGCAGATTGCCAGCTCCGAGACGACTCAGTCTGCCACGTCCAGCTAAGTTCAGCAGCAGGGATGTGGACCCGCTCCTCCACTGAGTCTACTAAAGGGGGAGAGGTGACCAGAGCACCTGCCATTGCCATCATCCCCATGGTTCCACCATTGCTCTCTGATCCTGGCCAGCATAGAGTCTTCTCCTATAGCTGCATTAACCGCCGGCAGGGATGCCATAGTTCACTGCCTCCTCGAGGCTTAAACCTCCTCTTTTTTGCTTATAAGCTGTGGGCACCTTCAGGGGGTGGACTGAGCCTCTCATGGGGCACTCAACTGACCCTGGGCCCTTGGGCAGTGCCCAAGTACCTGAATGGACAGTCTGCCCTTGGTCAAGACTCACCATGAATTATAAAATCCTTTGGGACGCAAGTTGAGGTAATCACATTGGAACACAACCCAATGGGGATGGCTTATCAGCCCCCCCCCCCCCCCCCCAGGTGGCAGAACACCAGGGCCGATATGGCTGTGACCCTGCTAGTTCCACCACTGCCCGGAAGCCTAATTTAGTGGGGGGCACACAGGGGGCAAGGAATAACCATGACACCACTGGCCCCCACATTGGACACCTTTTATCTTCCTGTTGTCACATTGTTATCAGCAAGAATTATGGACTCTTAAGAAGAATACTTGGTGATCTCTTTTTCCGATTTCAAGCGGATTCCTCAATTTGGGTGGCCCCTACTTTGAGGGAACCCCCCGCCTTGTCATAGAGCTGTCCAGATCATCCTATCACACCACCATCTTTTGTTTGACGGGTGAAGCCTAGCGCCTCACATTTAATTTTTCTTGGATTTTATTGATTTAGATTTTACCCATGGCAAGAAAAAAACTACACACACAAACATTTCACTAAAAGTAATAAAAATGACCTTTATTGTTGTCTCTCCAACTTGTGGAGCCTTTTTAATTTACCATGTTCTTCATATTATTGCACCCTAAAGATTCTCTGTTCTTTATAAAATTGAGGAATGGATTGTTATATATTTGTATTTTTGGAATGGCAAGCTTACTGTATGTTCTGCAATGGCTCATTATCAGTGTAGGAGCCTCTTGTCGGGCTTCTTTTAGAGTCCCCGTAGGTTTTTATGGCTCCCACTTGACACCCACATAATTATACACACTGAGTCATTATTGACATTAAACTTTTGGTTAACTTGCTAAGGATAGGCAGAGTCTTACTATAAATCACTGCCAGCAAACATGTTTATGGGGTTGAACAAAGACACACTGAGAACAAGGAGTGCTTTGGGCGATCATAGGGACATATTAAACAGGAAAACACCAACGCTGTTCCCTAAATAGAGATGAACACATTTTGAAAAATGCACTGTGCCTGGGGTTTACCCGTTATGAGCCTGAAATCCCAGGTGAGCCCCCAATCAGCACTTTTAAACATATTTTTTTTAATTATTTTTAATAAAGCTGAAAAAAAAAGAAAGATGAGCCAAGCTTATCGATAAGTGTGCTGTGCTGATTCCAAGAGATTGGCGTTAAAATACAAATAAATTGTGCACCTTATGTCACAATCTGGGACCAGGTTTGCAGTCCATGAGCTGACACAGCAAACATTGTTGTGGTTCTGCTGAGAACCAAGGCCAGGCTTGGTGCACAGGCAGGTGGTTGTAGTATAAAAGCAAGCAGAAACCAAACTGGAGATTAAGCCAAAGTTGGTAGCCAAAGGTATCAGGTCTGAGAGGAGAGACATAAAGAGTGGTCAGAGATTCAGCAACCAAGGGTTAGTATCAGGGGCGGACTGACAAGCCATGGGGCCCCAAGGCAATAGGGGATCATGGGGCCCCTGTGTCCCCACCCACACTCAAAACCACACCCAAAAAAGCCTATGAAAGGTACTAGGGACCTCCTACTGACCTTGGGCCCTCGGGCAGTGCCCTAGTGCCTGAATGGTCAGTCCACCCCTGGTTAATATAAAAAGCAGCAGTCATTAGGAACGTACAAATACGTAGAAATAAATTGTACTGTTGGGACCTGGTTCACATGCTGGTGGCACTGTGCTTCCCAGAGCAGAAGGTTGGAGTTCTAGTGTCCAACAGCAGGTGTCACCAAGCAGCCAGTGGTCTCTAGTAATCAGTCTTTAGGAATCAGTCTCCACCTGATGCTGGTTGCTTGGAGGATATTTAGGTTCTCCCTTTTAGTGCCTTGTTGTTTCAGTGTTTTGCTTGCTGTGCTAAGTCAGCTGCTCCTGATCTTACTACTGCTCTTGCCCTGCATCCTGTACCCTGCACCCTTTTGCCCTATATCCGCTCCCCTTGTTCTTGTATCTAGTCCTGATTCCCCCTTCTTTGCATACCTGGTATTCCATGTTCCTTATTTTGTAAACAGTATATTGTATATATTGTATATAGCTAATTGGTAAGGTTCCTGTTATTCAGTTAGGCATTGTGGGTATCTAGTGGTAGTTCACTTGTATCTTCACATTTTCTGTGTGCTGGTGTGTGGATGTCTTTTACTTCACTAATAAAACATTTGCTTTACTATAGTCTGATCTCAGTTTCCCAGTGTAGCTATGAAGATCTGGCCATCTTTGCTGAGGAATCCTGACAAGTACACTTTATGGCATGCTCTAGGGCCAGGCTCAAAATCCATGAGCTGGAATAGCAGACATGTTTATGGTTCTTAACAAGTCTTGTTCAGTATACAGGTAGGTGGTTGTAGTATAGAAGGAAGCAGAAGCAATGTCAGAGATCAAGCCAAGTTGGATGCCAAAGGTATCAGGTTTGAGTGAAGAGTGGTCAGTGAATCGGTAGCCAAGGGAGTCAATAGCAGTAGCAAAAAGAGCAAAACACTTGCAGAAGCACAATAATCTGGCAAACAGAAAGGGTAGAGGCATGGCTACAATTGGGAGGTTCAGGAGAGGAGCAAGTAGTTCAGAGTTCATAAAGAAATTATGTAGATATCTATGAAGACTTACCAAGAGATCAGGCTAATCCTTCAGGTGACTCAGTAGGAAGAACCACCGTCAGATATAATGAAGCCCAGGGTATTGAACTGGATCCTGACACTTTATGGCCAAAAGTATGTTGACTCTTCTCCAAATTTTTAGCTTCAGGTGTAGCCAGTCAAGGGTATTGTTAATGCTACATCGTGCAAAGACAGTTGTGCACCTCTAACCTTGTGAAAACAATTTGGTGAAGGCCCTTTTCTCTTCCAGTATGCATGTACCCCTGTGCACAAAGCCAAAGACTTAGTTTGACCAGTTTGGTATGGAATAAAACTTGAGTGGTTTACACAGAGCTTTGACTTCAGCTGTACTAAACACCTTTTGGATGAATTGGAATACTAACTGTGGGCCATGGTCTTCTTCAAAGCTTGTGAGAACACTTTGGTGAAGGCCCTTTTCTGTGTTTCAGCATGACTATGCAATCGCATAAAGCAAGATCCATAAAGACATGGTTTGGACAGTTTGGTGTGGTGAAACTCAAGTGTCTTGCACAGAGCCCTGATCTCAACCCTACTGAACACCTTTTGGATGAATTGGATCTCTGATTGTGGGCCAGGTCTTCTTCAAAACCTGTGACAACATTTTGGTGAAGGCCCTTTTCTCTTTCAGCATGACTGTGCATAAAGTGAAATACACAAAGACATGGTTTGACCAATTTTACGTAGAGGAACTTGAGTGGCCTACGCAGAACTGTGACCTCAACTCTACTGAACACCTTTGGGATGAACTGAAATGCCAATTGTGGATCAGCTTGCAACTCATATTAATATGTGGCATACCACACATTAATATGCATGCAGTAACACACCATGGCTTACACAGAGGTTTGACTTCAGCTGCACTAAACACCTTTTGGATGAATTGGAATACTGACTGTGGACCATGGTCTTCTTCAAAGCTTGTGAGAACACTTTGGTGAAGGCCCTTTTCTGTTTCAGCATGACTATGCAATCGCATAAAGCAAGCTCCATAAAGACATGGTTTGGACAGTTTGGTGTGGAGAAACTCAAGTGTCTTGCACAGAGCCCTGATCTCAACCCTATTGAACACCTTTTGGATGAATTGGATCTCTGATTGTGGGCCAGGTCTTCTTCAAAACCTGTGACAACATTTTGGTGAAGGCCCTTTTCTCTTTCAGCATGACTGTGCATAAAGTGAAATACACAAAGACATGGTTTGACCAATTTTACGTAGAGGAACTTGAGTGGCCTACGCAGAACTGTGACCTCAACTCTACTGAACACCTTTGGGATGAACTGAAATGCCAATTGTGGATCAGCTTGCAACTCATATTAATATGTGGCATACCATGCATTAATATGCATGCAGTAACACACCATAATGCACTGCTCTAAGGTGAAAGCAAGGTATCAAAGACCAAGACTTGCACCCCCAGAGATGCCTTGACAAGGAAACCCCAGTGAATGCAAAAAAAGCACTTTACACAAAAAAGAAAAAACAATCATCAGATTTGAATGAAACATCTAATGTCATGACTCCTGTTTTGTTTGTTTGCAGACTTCTAATTATATATCACTCATTTACAGATGACTAAGTCCATATTGATAATGGGGGAAGTAACCTTTTCTGTGGGTGTTTTTTTTTAATGGGAATTGTTTTTTTTCTCCTTCTGCCATTAAACATGTTTAATATTCATACGACTGCCATGAAATGTATTACTGCAATTAGCATGGAATAATAACGAAGTGAAAAGCTCGTTATCCAGGTGCTTTTCTCGCTATTATTCCCAGGTGACTTAAGGATGTCAGTCACTTCCCAGCGTGTCAAACACTAAGCAGATAAAGGAGGACTTCAGCAATTTAATGATATAAATGTTCATGGTGAAAACTGACTTCTCGACGTGTTCCATTTTTGGAGGTGCTGCTTGGAATAACAAATTATAGTTGTTGGCCTGGTTCAGTTTACAAAGCCTTTAGTTGACCAGGTCCTCCCTCTGTGGGTATCAGACATCAACTAGCTATTACACACCATGCAGGTGCACCCCACAGTCTCCCACCCCCCATAAGCTTTGATCAGAAATTTGCCCTGATCTTCCGAGGAATTTTTATACTTTTCAGTGTAGATCATGGAGGGCCAGATGTGGGTGAATCTCCATTCTCCTGGACAGAATGTGTACCGCCACCATTAATGTATGCATCTGTGCACATACAGTACTGTGCAAAAGTTATAGGCAGGTGCAGGGGCGGACTGACCATTTGGAAACTCAGGCACTGCCCGAGGGCCTGGGGTCAGTAGGGGGCCCCATGAGATGCCCCTGGTACCTTTTTCATAGGCTTTTTTGAGTTTGGGCAAGGACACAGGGGCCCCATGATCCCCTATTGCCCGGGGGCCCCATGAGTTGTCAGTCCGCCCCTGGGCAGGTGTAAACTGTCTCTATGCTAGCCACTTTGCAAATGTGCACCAAATCAGGGGGGCAGGGGTTTA